CTCTTAATATAAACCTTCCTTTAAAAACTGCATGTTGTGTTTACTTGTGTTATCTTTGACTAATATTTAAATTTGTTTGATGATCTGAAACATTAAAGTGTAACAAACGTGCAAGACAATGAAAAATCAGGAAGGGGACCAACACTTTCACACAACTGTGTGAAAATAGTATATTTTAATAGTATAGTAAGTGCGTGCATGCTGAGTAATGTGTAAGGACAACATTCTACATATGAAAAAAAAAGCTCCCATGGAAACAAATTAAAAAAACATACTTACCTTACACCCCAATGTCTGCACATGAAAGGGCGAGTAGACATTCAATCACAGTGTAGGAGCATCTTATCGTGAGATTAGGGATCCTCAATGTTCCCAGGTTCTTGGCAGAAGGACTGTGACCTCACCCTCTCCTATGCATCACAGGTGGGGCTAAGTAAGGTAAATATATTTTTTAGCTTTTCTCTACGAGTGTTTTTTTTATAAACGTGGAATACAAATTTAATTGAGGGGTGGGCCACTATTTAATAAGTGGACCTTGCATTTTGATGCAAGGTCCAATTTACCTGTCAGACGCCGTATTGTATTTCCCCTGTCAATGTCTTCATCCTGATTTCTCCTCAAAGGGCTGGCCTCATCATTGTTCCTGCTTTACCTGCATCTATATCTTGCACGAAGATATTGGGCCAGCAGTAAATGCTTGTGTTCATCCAGTAGCCTTTAATTCTTGTTTCACACAGATCATCCTTCCAGTAGCCATAAAACTACAGTGCACAGTCTGAGTGCATCCTCACATTTTGCATTGTACAGGAGAAAAGGAGATCAAAGTGAAACACACATGGGGGCTTATTTGTAAATCTTCCACCCAGCATACAGCTAGGTGAATGCCATTCGCATTGCATTACCGACACTAGATGGGGCAAAGGAGCATTCTTATGCTCCTCGGCTCCATCTAGTGGTGGTAATGCCACCTATATGGTAGGTTGGAGATTTAACTTTAGCCAAAGCAGACTTTTTCATAGCTGTGGGACCTAGCAGCTTAAAAATGCCAGTGTTTGTTTGGCTGTATAAGAATTTCCAAATAGTATTTACTCTAATTATGAAAGAACATATGAATATATGGTTATCAGATTGATGTGAGAGAATGTAGAATGGCTCAGGACTTAGGGGATGCACAATATAAGGTTGGAAACGTACGACATACTGTATATAGTTATAACCCTTTTGATGGTCTACTACAGAAGATGGGCCATAATCATATTTCTTTTCAGAATGTAGGTGAGTTGTCTTTAAGTATGATTTTAGTTAACTGCTTGTTCTGCAGGAGGCAGTTTATCACCGCTGGTGCAGCTGCTGGAATTGCCTGTGTATTTCGGGCTCCTGTTGGAGGGCTTCTTTTTGCTTTAGAGGAGGTGGCATCCTTCTGGGACATGAAGTTGGCCTGCCAAATATTTTTCTGCTGTTTAATTGCGGCTCTCACTACAGAAGTGTTTTCTTCTTCTTTTGGCGGATTTGTATACCAGGGTTATTTTGGATTTTTCAAAGCTGAGCAAAGAATCATATTCTGGGTATGTATCTTGGTTAAATTAAATAAACCGTATAAAAGAATGTTAATACTCTGAAATATTTTCAGTTCTTTTTTTTATGATTCTTTGGTGATTCAAGGAATTCTTGCCAGGATTCACCTAGATTTGACATTATTTGCCTTTCAACATAATTAGAACCTAGGAAATGTTTTTTTCTGGCTCATGCTCTAGTAAGTGAATAGCAGCAATTGTGTCTTAGGCCTGTGGCGAATGTATGTTAGTTGAATACCCTTATCTGAAAAGTCCTATGTGCTTCTAGTGGACAGGTGTCCATTGGGAATAGCTAAATTTTCAAGGTAAGAGTAGGGGAACACAAATTTACAAATCCTGGTGAATGTGACAAAAGGAGAAGTTTATAACCAAATAGATACCTGATACAAAGCCATAAAATGATGGCTGAAAAAATGTGATCAATTGGTGGTTATATATAGGCTTCTATATTTTGTTAGTAGCCAGTAGGATACTACTAACTATGGGAACACCTTTTTTGTGCCCACAGTGGGTAAATGTGGTTCATAAGGAAAACAAAATTAATTATACAGCAGATACCCATAATTATAATTGTCATCCATTCACTCACTAGGGGTGACAAACTGGACAGTGAGTGTTTGCAGTTGTAGACAGCGCCTTGTGTCCATTTTGAAAAAGCCTGCATCTCAATGACACAATGCTTTTCTTGGGTACTTAGGAAGAATTTCTTCACATAATCTTCTCCCTTTGTGTGACCCCCAACCCCTTGCAAGTTCTAGACACAGTGCCTACATGTACCGAATGGGAAATCCAGTCATGCTCACACAATTATTGCTCCTGAGTGGGATGTATACTTTATATATGAACTTAGCCATACACCTGCAGCACAAGAGATGCTGCTTGGCAACTCATATGCAGGAAGTATGTAAATATTGGAAAGGGGATTAGCAGTAGTGAGGTTAATAACATCATACATGACATTCCTTAGAATGTGAAAGTATTTTCTTTTCAATTTCAAAAGCTTCAAGTGGGAATTGGATACATTTACAGGTAAAATGTTTTCCCTTTTGACTTTTGTTAGCAAAGATCTAATAATTATTTCATTTTACCTAAAAAAGCATATTTGAAATGACAAAATGATTGAATGTAGTAAGGACATAATTTGACATTTTCATTGATTTTAGTCTAACAGCCATCTTTTTGTTTTGTCAAGGTGAAAGACTTATTGGATATGAGTGTATTGGCCTTTATCCCCTGTGTCATCCTAGGTGTAATTGGTGGTTTACTGGGTGCCCTGTTTGTGTTTCTAAATGTAAGAATCAATAAAGTACGTCAAAAGCTGTTCAACTCAATATCTCACAAACTTCTCAGACAGCTAAGTAAGCTACTTGAAACTTTGTTCTTGATGGTGAGTAAAATCTGATTTTTCATATATCTTAATGAGCTTGTTCAGTTAACGTGTATATATATATATATATTTTGAAAAGCAATTGAATCTGCCAATAAAACAGTAAAGTATATCATGGTTACTTAACTATTTTTATAGTACAATTCTTCAGTCTAATGGAGAAGAAAGGTATTGTTTCAGATCAGGGGGCTGTTGTAATCTCTACATTTAAATAACTAACATTTAAAAAAGATGTATTAGATGTACTGTGAAACCACTTATAAGGGGCATGGTCTGTTAATGTAAACTCTGAAAAGAAAAAAAAAAAAGAATGTTCTTCATAACTGGGGAATTTGCACTTAGTAAATTAGGTGAAGCTCTGCTGACTTCCATCATCCAGTCATGTGCAAGCAAAAACAGTTTTTTTTAAATTGTCCTTGCTTGTGATTGGGTATGCTTTGCAAAGTGAATTTTCACCAAATTCACTAAGCTATGTGAAAATGTCCCTCCAAAGTGAAAATGCCCTTACAAAGTGAATAGCCCATTTTTTGTCTTTAGTAAATCAACCCCATAAAGTTTCTAACCATTAACCACATTATCTAAAAAGTTGAAATTACACATGGTGAACCTTGTGCTGAACACTGTAATGTTAGGGGAATCCAGCAGGATCGCAGGACACAGGCTTTGACCCGGAAGCGCCGACCGCGCGCGGGGGGGCGGTGCCGTGAACGAGCACATATAGGCGATCGGCGGGCTATGGACCCGCTGATCGCCTATATGTGAAACACCCGGTAACGGGTGTGTGCAACGGTCAGGTCTTTTCTGCCCGTGCGTGCCAGCTAGGGGGCGCGCGCGAGCATAAAAAAAATTGCCGCCTGGAGACGGCAACCCGCAGATGTAGCAGTGCCGTCCGTCCGTTTTTTTACTACGGGCGGACGGCAAGAGGTTAAAGGGACCACAGTCCAAACAGAGGGGAAATATAGCATCCTTCCAGGACCCAGCCCCGGTGTCCTGTACAACACCAATTGGTGGTGTTCACACATAGTGAATACATTAAATGTGTTCACCATGTAGAATTTCAAATTATGTTGTACACGTCTGTTCTTTAATGCTGGCAAAGGAAGGGGGTGTAAATTCTCTGGGGTTGATACGTGCAGATGATTAAATTAATGCAACCTATCCTCATTTACTAATCTAAGTGAACATACACTTTACAAAATTAACATACTCTATCCCTTCACAGAGCTGAACTGTACTGTCTAGGTGTTGGGATACACAAACATGTTAGGAAGCAAGGCCCTACAGTGGAGAATTTCTGGCATGTTTTGATATTCTTTAATTTGTAAAATTTACTAAATCTATGGGTACCACTTTAATGCAGTGTTCAATGTCATCAATGAACGATAAATGTTTACAAATAGTTGTTGAATTTTTTAAATTATGACACTTTTTTTTTTTGAAAAATTATTTTTATTAAAGTTTTATGTTACAAGTAACAACAGTTAACAACATTCGCACTCACAGCCGTGAGAGCACACATAGAATGCAACAGAACAACTCTGTACAACCCCTTACTAACCACGGGGAGTACTTGTATAAACATCAACATACCCCCCCCCCATCCTGCCCCGAATTTTGTCCAGATCATGTCTGATCAATGTGCACTCCACCGCCAGATGGTCTATTTTGGCTGTGAGGGCGATTTTACAGCCCTCTATGGCCTCCAGGATAGCTGTTGTCTCAGCCCTCTCCTTACTTGTGGTCGGTGGGGAGACAGGCTGCTCCGGAGGGGCCAGCGCCACCTCAGCAGCGTCTGCAGCTACTCCCTCCATGCACAAGGTCCGGCGTGAGCACTCACAGGGAGCAATGGACGGCGGCAAGATGGCGGCGGCGGGACACGAGGCCGCACGCTGGGATCTCCTCCAGCCACCTTTCGGGGTATTACCTCACTTGCCAGACCTAGAGGGCATATCCCCCTGCTCCGGACATCCACCGGAGCTCGGGTGTGAAGAACAGGAACCGAGTCTGCAGGATTAAAGCCGGATGAAGCTCAGTGTGGCGGCGGAGCTCCCTCAGACACGTCCGCTCTGCTTCACATCTCGGCCACGCCCCCCAATTATGACACTTTTTAATGCGTATATAGAATATTGACCGTCTTAGCGCTAAATGCTTCAGACCATCTCCTGCAGAATCTTTAATCCTTATAGACTCAGTGGCTACTCATCACAGAGATCTGGGATTCCCTTCAGCACATGCAAAGAAAAAAAAACAGAGCGCCTTCTCCATGTGTAGAATCATTATTACGCTTTTCAGGGGCACGCCCCCTTGGTCAGATCCGTGTTCTGATGAAGTGGGAATGCCCCAGACATGCATAAACTGAGGCATATAGCGGGGAGATAAGTCAGGAGAGGAAGTGATGATTGCTGTGCTTGCTACAAGGGTGAATTCCCTCTTGAAAATCCATTGTGACATTTTGATTATGTGTCAAAAAGGATTCTGCTACATAGACTTGTGAATATATTGTAAATGTTTTTGTATCCATTAATAAATGATTCTACACATGGAGGCGGCGCTCTGTTCTTTGTTACTTTTTTATGCATGCCCCCTTCGTGACTGACGACGTACAGTGTACGTCGCCAGCATCGGGGCTGTTTAAACAGACTCCCGGTGACTTTTACACGGGTCGGCTGGAACTATGAGGATGAGTGAAAAGCACTCACCTCATAGTTCTCCTTTAACTACTATCACATTATAGTCGATATTCCAGGAAAAATCTATATAAAATTGCTTTTAGGGGTATGCACTAACCAACTGTTTATACAGCAATTATAAAATGATGTAAGTCAAGTGTGGTCAAAATACCAAACTATCCTTTTCATTGCTTCTCAGAAAACAAGCTACAATTCTGAGGATCACTATGAATAAACAATTATTTATTAAACTAAAGAATACAAGCTGTGGAACAACTCCCCATGTGTACAACCACTCACACGTTTCACCGATCTGGCTTATTCATAGAGTTGCCTCTACAATTTAAGCCAGATTGAAACGCATGAGAGGTTGTACACATGGGGAGTTGTTACACAGCTATAATTAAAGGAGAACTATGGGGTTAGGGCTTTTCCCCATAGTTCTCCTAAGGATGTCCTCCCGTCACCCAAAGCTCATTATATACTGAGACGGCGCAGCCGGAACGGATCCCGTCAATTATGTCTGGATCCACCCAGCTGCGTGAGTAACAGCTGGCTCTGCCTATCTAGAGGCAGAGCCAGCTGTACCTGCCCCCTCCCCTGTCCCTTCAGCCACTCAGCGCTGGAGGATCGGACAGGGGAGGGGGCAATCCAGCCCCTCCCATGTCACGGCTCTCTGCACAGATAGAGAAGTGAGCGAGCGCCGGTATGTGTTCGCTCAGTTCCCGATCTACTGAGCCGACCTGTGACAGTTTCATTGTCACAGGTCTCCTTTAATTACTTTAATAAATAATTGTTTTATTCATTGTGATCCATGGAAGTGCGGCTTGATTTCTGAGAAGGATTGTTAAGTACGAAGGCGAACCGACTTCGTCTGCACCCTGTGGAATGATTCACAGTTGGATGTCGGTCTAAGAATTGGAGTGGTGGACTATCTGCACTATATCCTTTTCATTGGTTTGCAGTCTTATCAGTAATGGTTGAGCTTTATCGTATGTGTTCCTTGCACATAGTTTTACTACAGAGCAAAGAAAGACAGAAAGGTATACATATAATTGTTTATTATGAGGTATAATGTGCAATTGATAATGTTACTAACAAATTATGATGAAAGAAAATGTAATGAGTAATTTCTCATGAACATCTTGTTACAGTTTGTGACCATCACTATGACAGTATATGTGCCATATTTCTTCTCCTGCACTCCAGACACAACAACCACCCATTCCACCAACTCGTCTGGCCAGTAAGTATGTGAAAAGGTGGCATATTTTTAATAACTTACTCATCAATTAGAAGATAAACCTGAGCAGAGATCACTCTACTGATACACTAATCCAGTTTTTTTTGTTTTGTTGCTCTTGCTGCACAAACATCTGTGGTTGCATACTGATCCACTGACATGCCAAAAAAATGGACGTATTTTTACCACACTATTGGATGTTTCTATAGTATATGTGAAGTCAGGTGTGTTTGAGAATTGATATATTTATTTTTCTTCATCTCGCTTTACAACAGATCACATGATTCACATGGATTGTGGGATGTCTCAGAATATAACTGTCCGGATAGTTCTACGTTGTTTACACCAGGGGAATCATCCAATCATACTATAAACCAAGGTATTGCAGTGGGATGTCATGAAAAGAACGAACTCAAAATGTGTAGTTCACATGTTCCACAATGCTTTTTAGACCATACTATTGCTATCTAGAATGGCATATTTTAAAACATTTGTCCATTCATTATGTCATTAGGAAAACATACATTGTGTACCACGCCCCCACCTTCTACATTAAAACCTGCCAAGCCCTGACCATACAAATGCAAATGTGTAAAATATAAACACTAATTGTAGAGCTTTAAATGAAAACAAAAGAAAATCTTCCTACCATCACTGATGACATAAAGGGCATACAGCTCTATGTATTGCAAAAAGCTCTCAAAGTCCATTGTACGTCACAAATCAAAGTCTTTCTTCTATCCATTATAAAATGAGTAACAGGTGTTGTATAACTAAGGCAAACGAGGAAACTTCTGTGTCCAAATGAAAAAGTATTTTCTGTGCCTGAGAACAATCCCTAAACCCAAAGCTGTTTTACCTTTTTGTTTAAGGAAAGGCAAATATCTATTTGCAGGACATCCATGGCAGTACTCTTCCAGTAAAACTTTTTGCACTATCCCAGATTCCATATTTTCTGTGGTGGAACTTTTCTAGTTAGATCTATCTGAAATGTATAGAGATTTTGGCATATGCACTTTATGTCATCAGTGGTCGTGGGCAGTCAATGGCAAATTGCTTTTATAACTTTAGAACATCCCCTGCTGCTGGATCAAAGAAGTGATATGTGACAGATTTGGAGACTGAAGTCAGGGATTGAGCCAAGAATTCAGATAACCATATATATTGGCCTCTCTTCTCTATTTCAACTTATATGTGACCACTTCGTTTTACCAGACATCCACCTAAGGGTTCCATGTTCCAGCCTTGAAAAAAAAACATGCATTATCAATTTGAAAGTTTCAGGACTTCAAGAGAAACAATGATCACATTTTACAATGTAACTTTGCTTTACAATCCAAAATATAAATATACAATAAAAATTACAATGATGCCGACTGGACTAAAATAGGATTCTGTACAAATTACTTGACAATATTTCCAGATAAACACTTAAGATGTTAAGATCTTTATTTGTTCTTGAAACATGGCCTTGACATATCGGAGTTAAAGCAATCAGTAAAAATGTACCTTTCTTTGTTCACTATATAAATGGTGGACTAGTCTAAGCCCTCTTCTCCAGATATTAAAGATCAATACATGTAATACACTTTAATGCTTATGACAATAGTATTGCGAAAGCCCATTGTCCACTGCCTGAACATGTATGTCCTTCAATATGCTGATGCTGATATTTTGCAGCAAGTGTGCCATCATCTTGCTTATAACTTAAAGGAAGTGTGGAATGAGAGAAATCTGGCTGCTGCCAATAATAACCTTCTTCTGAAAATGCTATTTGTGTGTCTCTGGTTTTAGTACTTTGAGACAGAGACAAAGCATACAGCAAGTTGGAGAAGTGACATAACTCCTTACCTGTGTTATTCTGGAATAGCATGTCAAAGTATTGAAGCCATTGGATCAACATTACAGACAGGCAACTAGCATTTTCAGAAGATCAACATTTGTAGCCCAACTTCTTATCTTATGTCAGGTTTCCTATAAAATGTCACAAAGCACAGTAGCTATCTGCAAAACATTGTCCTCGATGACAAGTAATCTGTTGTAATCTATTTTTATGTTTGACTATAATAATGTTAAATAAGGTCATCAGTGTTTGTAAATCACACAATTAACAAATGATTATTGTTTTTATATTCAAATCACCTGAACTTTGTCTTTATTGACAGCTGCTGCTCTGTTGGTGAAAAATGGGAAACAAGGCATCATGCTTCTATTCCAGCGAGGAACTCATACAAAGTTTGGACTTCCAGCTCTGCTCACTGTTCTGCTTTTCTACTTTCTTGGTTCCTGTTGGACCGCTGGGACTGCAGCCTCAACTGGACTTGTTGTACCCATGCTGTAAGCAAACCACTCAATAATGTGATGTTCAAAAGCAGTAAGCCTTATTTTATGAACTAGATTGACAATATTGTTCTGACACTCTAGGCCACAGTACAGAGGCCTCGCCCCTAGTGTCATGTGATTATTTTAGTAAAAAAACAACTGCACATATTCATTGTTGCTGGTACCATGCTGTCTACTTTATATGCAAGGCTACATTTCAACTGTACAGACCAAAAAAACCCAAGAAAATAAGAGTTGATTTCATGTTTCCTGTACTATAACAAGTTTTCTGATGCCTATTCCTACACCCCCTCACTCTTCAGTTCTCTTGCTGTATTTAGCTACAAATGCCCAGAAGTCGTGAGAAGAGCGGAACAATGAAAGAAACATTTATCAGAGTTTGTACATTTTGAGACTTGGTAGCCCTTTACTCTGCTCTCCTAGGCTCAGGCCCACATGGTCCATTGAGGGTAATACAGTCCTGATGATCTGCATCCCTCCCCCTGCAGTTCACATGCTGAATTTAGCTACAAATGTCCAGAAGTAGAAAAAGAGAGAAACAATAAAAGAAAATGCATTTGTTTGTACAGTTTGAGACTTGGTAACGCCCTTATTTTTTTGCCCTAGGGTCAGGCCCAGGGCAAAAATGCAGTACTTTACCCAGTACTGGATGCAGTACTTTACCTAGTATTCTATATTCCATGCATAGCTTATTCTGCTATCTCATTTAGCACATCTAATACCAGGATTTTCCTCTACAGCTACACTGGCGCTCTCCTTGGGAGGATTGTTGGTAATATTTTGGTGTACATGTTCGGAGTCCAAAATGATGAGTATAGAGCGTGGATTGATCCTGGGCTTTTTGCAGCCATCGGTTCAGCAGCTTATTTTGGTGGTGTTTCCCGACTGACCATTTCCCTCACTGTCATTATGGTTAGTATAAGTAACTTGTGCATTGTGTCTGTACCAAAGCTAAAAATAAATGAACATGCAAGCCAGATAGGACAATATACATTTTAATATGGTATGTGGATAAGTTTGATAATGACTGGCTGCTTTTCTGATGATACATTACAGCCATAAGCTAAGCAGTCTAATTATGTTGATATATTATATGGGGGTGTGTCTGGCAATCAAATGATCTGTGTATATACATTTTGTCTCTCTCTATGAGTAACATCCCTATCAGTTTGTCAGTGACACTGAGCTGCGGTGCACCAGCTCCAGCACACTATTTTCCTAGTCCAGTTCTGATTTCAGAGATGGTGAGCAGTTAGCAGGAGAGGGTATCATTCACTGGTCTTTATTTATTGATGCTGTACATATGGGAGCATTTTTGTAACATGGATGCATCAGCAACAGAGGAATATCATGGTCTTCCCCATTTCTTCAGGGTTTATTGCAGCTATTAGACATGTGCACAGGCAAAAAACTTGTTAGCGGTAGTCTGCAAAGAGACATTAGACAAAAGAAAAAAAATTACTTTTTTTTTACAGTCTGCAGAAGAGAAAAAAAAAGCGTGATATTCCCCCTATTGATACCAGACCATTTAGGTCTTGTAGGAATGTTAGGAAGGACCCACCCAAAGTAAAAAAAAAAGTGCGTGGGGTTCCCCCCAAAAGGCATAACAGGCCCGTTAGGTCTGGTAGGAATTTTAGGGGGGAACACCACCACCAAAAAATGGGGGTGAAAAACGTTACATCCCCTGTAAAATTCCTACCAGACCCTTGATCCAAGCACAGGCCCAGCAGGCCCTTAACAGACCACGTGCCCTCAGCATTAGGAGGGTGTCCCCATGCCGATAGGGACAAGGGCCTCTTCTCCACAACCCTGACCCACACTTTAAGAAAAAAAACCTTTAATTGAAAAGAAAAACCCAGAGTAAATTTTTTACTATTACTTTTTTTTTTTTAAATGGATCCATCTATGTAATCCAGCATCAATCTTGATTCACAACGGCCGCCGACCTCCCGAAATAAAAAGAGTCCTGCCACACTACGACCTGTCCGAACCCGACGAAAACTCGCCTTAAAATGACATCTCTGGGCAGAATGTAAATAGATGGGCGGAGCGAGTCGTGATGTCATGGCTCGCCCTGCCCATTTGACATTCTCAGCTGTCATTGCACATGAATACAACAGCATTCGGGAGCTCCCGAATGTTATTTATGAGCTCCCGAATACCATTCGGGTCTCTGAGCTGAGGTGTCACAATACTATTCATATGACACCAATGCTTACAGACCGGAATGGCTTTTGGAGGGGGGATACTCACACACTTTTTTTTAACTTTGGGGGGGTCTCTCCTAACATTACTACCAGACCTAAAGGGCCTGGTATCAATTTAGGGGGGAACTGCACACTTTTTTAAAATCTTCTGCAGACTGTAATAAAAAAAAGTAATTTTTTTTAATTTGTATAATGTCACTTTGCTGCAACGAATATTCATCCAGAAACGAATATTCGTACACACTACCGCTAACGAATTTGTTCCAAATTTGTAGTTATCGGAAATTCGGATTTGTATTCATTCGCCATTTCTGTCATTCGGAGGATGGGATATATCTAAATCCCTGAATTTCTGAAAATTCGTCCGAAAAACTAATCTTTCCGAAATGAATCGCACATGTCTAACAGCTATACCAGACATACTGCCTTGTAGAGTCTGACTATATAATTATTTGGTATGTTGGTTATAGTGCTAGAGTAGTGTTGATCTCAATAGTTAGTTTGTCTTTGAGATTGATTTATATATCACAGGCTCTTTGCTATGGAACATGGTCTTTTTGTAGTTTGTGGTAATTACTATAAAGCTGGCAATACACTAGTAGATTTCTGCATGAACGATCGTACAAAATATCTATCTTTACCATCCGATAATGCCATCAGACACTTGACGAATGTTGAAATGTTGTTTGATTTTAATGATCGATTTTGGAATGAATGGAGTTTCTTGAACGAAAATCACATTCACTAATGGAATTCATTTTCCATACTGCTCCTTCAAGTTTTTTTGTCATTGAGGTCGAAATCGATCATTGATTTGACCGCATCAACTAATAGAAAGTCGAAAGAAAGTTATTTCGTACAAAAGTTATTTCTGAAATTTAAGCAGTGTATGCCCAATTTTAGACTTTGTAATACCATCAAAAAAGAGGTGGTGTGTGTGGGGTGTGTCATAGTAAAAGTATTCAACAACCTAGACCCTGAAGATGGGTGAAAAGCAGGAAGAGCAGATTCGATGTACATTCTCAGGACTCAGTAAGAATATATCTAGGAGACATATTAAAAAAATTATTTATTGGGCTCAGCACTTTAAATCCCACACTTCTTTCGCTTTAGTTAAAAAGAAAAACAAACATTTTCAGAAGACAAATTCACAATCTCCAATACCCATGAATGTCAAATTTGTACTTACAATCTGCCATAGGCTCCACTGCTAGGTTCCAACTCCATAACAAATTACAGCCCCAGAGAAAACATGTGTTACTTTCTGGCTCAGATTGTGAAGGTGGTGTTATGGGACAGCAGATTTGAATGTGGCAACAATCTCTTAAAAGAACGTCTGGTGCATACTTATTATCCATACTGGGTCCAAAAATGTAGTTATTCTTGGCTTCTGATTTATAATCTTCCATTTGGAAAGGACCAGTGTAAACAAACTCCAAGCGTTTGTGTGAAAGGAAATAGTCAGCTATTTATCATATGTGATAGTTGCATTAGCATGTGGTGATGAAGGATATTATTCTAAAATATATCAAAACACAATTATTCACAGGCTATTTGATGATGGTACAGCATTATGTGTATGTGTATATGTGCAAGCACCAATTTGCAATGTGGAATGATTGAAGGGATTTCTTGCCATGTGGATTGTCTCCATATTCCCTGAAGAAGATCTGTCAGATCTTGTTATAACACATTGGAAATACCTAATTAACAAAAAAAAAGCTCTTTGAGCACTTATTTAAATTTCTAAATATTTAGTAAGACCATATGGATACTACATGAAAAAAAGGGTGTAGGACTGCACTGGGCATATTCATAAACAGCATAACAGAAACAAATCAATGATTATTGACAAAATCACTACCAGTATAAAGAAGTAAAATAGAAGTGACATTTCAGGACTGAACAGCTGTTCCAGTGCAGATCGGTTTTCCTGCACATACGATTTGCGATGCCCATCTGCCCTGGAACAGCTGACAAAGCGTTGGAATGCTTCACCTATTGGTGGTCACATATACCACCGCTGAAAAACTGGGCAGGATTACATTAAAATGTGTGAGCATGTGACCGGTCACACATTCTAACGTAGTCTCAAACTTTGATAGAACAGAGGCCTTGTCTAATCATTTAATCAGAGAAATAGATTATAATAGGTAACATTACATTGTAATGTTAAATGACATAACAGCACACAACCCTCGGCCCCCCTTCCCTCTCCTCTCTCCCCCCTCCCCGCTCGGACTCACCCAGCCAGAGCCTAACAGCATCTCAGTCCTCAGACAGACGGTGTGTGCAGGGGGCAGGTCATGTGACTCACTACTCCTCTCCCGTCGCCTGTTAATACGGACGCGGCAGTGCGGGGCCTCGGTATTCTAACACCGGGACCCTGCACTGCCCCATATTCCACCGGGGGGGGTGCCCAGGACCAGACCTCACTGGGCCCCCCCACAGCCTCAGTATTCCGTTAGAGTTAGAGGTCAGGTCTCACTGGCGGTGTACTTTCAGCACACTGCAGCCTAATCTATCACTACACTGCTACACTCACTCATTTGAATTGCACTTTGCTTCTATCCATCCGAAGTAGCGGTAAATGTAGCGATAACTCATGATTGCATGGTTTCTGTGAGTAATCAGTTTCAGGTAATGTGCCTTTTTAACGGTCTTTCAGGTTAGAAAACATCTTTGTTTCTTGAAAGTGCATACAGGTATTCTAATACAGGTTTTCAGAGCAAATTCAGAGAGCAGCTTCCTTCCTCTCTGTCTGACCTTTCTTGAGCCTGATTTCTAGAGCATGTGTTCGCCTGCAAGAGAGTTAACCCTTCAAACATCTATGCTGACAAGCTTCACCTGATAATTGTTAAATACATATTAGAGTCTTTTCTTAAAACTCAGTAATTTACAAGTCCATCCATACTTGTTTTCGGTTCTATTGCAAAACATATGTTTCATAATCATTTTGATCTGTACGATATTTAGCACGTTATATGACTTGCGTTTCATGACACCTTTTATACATTATTCTTCCAAGATTTCCAGCATACCAGTACCCCAAAGTGTATGTTAGGTTTGCTATATTATTTTTGGTTGCCACTTTAACCATGATAAAGTTAAATAGGCCACACTGATACTTTTAGGTAAACTAGTCACGTGTTAATTGAAAAAAAAAGGGGTAAATTTTAGGACTGCAACTAATGATTATTTTCATAATTGATTAGTTAGACGATATTTTTTTCGATTAATAGGATGGAAAATGTATTTACATGTTTAAATAATTATGTAATATTATTAATTATTTAGTTAATTAGTAATTAATACATATTACTTTTCTGGGGGAATCAGAATGGCTGCATGCTTGAATCCGCGTCCTAACGTATGGTTTCATACATGTGAGCCGATTGGGTAGAGATGACATTTTTCATCTTGCCTAGCAAATGCAGGAGAAGATATTGCTGGACCCACTGCACACAAAGCTGTGCAAATTGCCGCTTTCCTTTGCTGCGCGTAGCTCCATGTGCAGTCTGTCATACGCTTCACAAGCTTTAGAGCTGGTTTACATCATCTCCAGTGTGTTCTGGCACGGTTCATGGCCGGAACGCACTGGATCACATAGTGGAAGCCTCCTTGTGTTCTGGGATGGAAGGGAGCGTGCCAGTGCCATTCAAGTCAATGGCACCACTGACACACACATGCAACACATAATACATA